TCCTTGGACCCAAGATCCCTGCTGAGACAACGGCACAGACAGCAAGAGACAGTGGCAGTGCTGGCAGCAGAACCAAGAGACTTGCATGAGACAGAGCGTGGCAGGCTTGCGCGCCCAGAGTAAGAAAGCTGAGTGCCTTTGCTCAGGAGCCTTGCTGGTGGAGTGGGAAGCACCCCAGTGCACCGATGGGCAGAGCTGAAAGCGCTTTGCAACACTTGCTCGAGCAGGGCACTGCCAGGCCAAGAGGCTGAGGGCCAAAGAGAGGTGTGTCTGCAGGCATGGCTGAGGTGAGGCTTTTCAGACGGAAGAATTACATCCTGCGTGTTCCTGAACCTAAACTGGAACCTGTTGCTTCTGTAGTAAACCCCGTAATTGTGAGACTTGTCTGTGAGTTCTGTGTGGCCATTGCAACTAATGATTGAACCCAGCCAAGAAACAAGGAGTGCCATGGGAGGGACGGTTTGTGTCCGAGTTGGTGAAGAGGCTGGAGGGAGGAGGCACGTCTGACTTCTGCCTTATGGGAGTCAGCACTGGGCTGTTGCTGTCGATCCTTCTCTCTCCCCCTCGTGAAGTTAGGGGAGGTCAAAGGATGCCAGCCTCACTCCTCTTTCTGCAGTGATTGACGAACTTCACTTAGCAGGATGTCCATGCTAGGTCCACATTACAAGGTGTTTCGCAGTTTCATCCTTATTCTTCAGTATTGCGCAGTATTCCATTGTGTGCATGTACCGTAGTTTGTTTATCCATTCATCCATTGATGGACACTTGAGTTGTTTCCATCTCTTTGCTACTGTGACTAATGCTGTGATGCACATGGGTGAGCATGTATCTATTTGTGTCCCAGCCCTTATTTCTCTTGGATATATACCTAGTAGTGGGGTTGCTGGGTCAGTCTATTTCCACCTTTTTAAGGAAGTGCCATCCATTTTCCACAGTGGTTGCACAATTTTACAATCCAACCAGCCGTGTATGAGGGTTCGTCTCTCCACACTCTTGCCAGCTTTTGCTCAGTGCCTAAGGCACCTGATTGCTAACCAGAAGGCTGGCGGTTCAAACTCACCAGCCACTCCTCAGAAGGAAGGTTGGGCAATCTACTTCCATAGTGATACCGCCTCGGAAACCCAAGGAGGGGTCGCTATGAGTCGGGTCCAACTCAACAGCACATTAACAACAACAACATTGATACTGGAATTAGATGATTCTTTTTTTTTTTTAATTTATTTGCATCTCTCCAATGGCTAAAAGTGCTGCTAAAGACCTCTTTAAAGTGTTAAAAAGTAAAGATGTCACTTTGAAAACTAAGGTGCGCCTGACCCAAGCCATGGTATTTGTAGTCACCTTATATACATACGAATACTGGACAATGAATAAGGAGGACTGAAGAACAATTGATGCGTTTGAATTATGGTGTTGGCGAAGAATGTTAAATATACCACGGACTGCCAGAAGAACCAACAAATCTGTCTTGGATGAAGTTCAGCCGGAATGCTGTTTAGAAGCGAGGATGGGCAGACTTTGCCTCCCGCACTTTGATCGCGTTGTCAGGAGGGCCCAGTCCCTGGAGAAGGACATCAGGCTTGGTGAAGCAGGTGGTCAGCAAAAAAGCAGAAGACCCTTAAGGAGATGGATGGATGCAGTCCCTGCAGCAGTGGCTCAGGCAGGGCAGGGATAGTGAGGATGGCCCAGGACCAGGCAGGGTTTTGTTCGTTGTACAGAGTCACTGTGAATTGAAACCGACTCAGTGGTACCTAAGAGCATTTCTTCATGTGTTTGTTGGCTGCCTGATGGCTTTGGTGAATGTTCATATCCTCTGCCCATATTTTAATTGGATTGTTTGTCTTTTTGTTGCTGAGGTGTTGAAGTTTTCTATAAATTTTAGAGATTAGTCCATTATCAGCTATGTCATTGCGAATTTTTTCCCCAAAAAATCTGTAGGTTCTCTTTTTACTCTTTTGGTGAAGTCTTTTGATGCTCATACATGCTTAATTTTTAGGAAGTCCCAGTCATCTATTTTGTCTTCTATTTGTGTTTTTATTTATATTAGTATATTGAAAAAAAAAAAACCAACTCACTGGCATCGTCGATTTCGACTCATAGTAACCCCTTTTTGGGTTTCCAGGGCAGTATCTCTACGGAATTAGATGGCCTCATTTTCCTTCCGAGGAGTGGCTGGTGGGTTTGAACTGCCAGCCTTCTGGTTAGCAGGCAAATGCCTTAGGCATTATGGCACCAGAGTCCCTTATGTTAGTATGTTGTTGTTGTTGTTGTTATGTGCTGTCGAGTCGGCCCCAACTCATAGCGACCCCTACTTGGGTTTCCGAGGTAGTATCACTACGGAAGTAGATTGCCCCATCTTCCTTCCAAGGAGTGGCTAGTGGGTTTGAACCTCCAGCCTTCTGGTTAGCAGTCAAGTGCCTTAGGCACTATGCTACCAGAACTCCCTATGTTAGTATATAAATAATATATTTATGCCATATATCAAAGCCCCTGAGTTTGCCCCTATTTTATTTACTTATTTTAGTGATCTTATAAAGTTTCACATTAGGTTTTAAGTTTCACATTTTTATCATCTTGTGTTCGTTTTCATGTATGGTGAGAGATAAGGATCCTGTTTCATTTTCTGCGAATGGATATCGTTTTGCCAGCACCATTCGTTAAAGAGATTGTCTCTTTCCCATGTGATGGGTTTAAGCTTAACACTTTCATCTGATGTGCTGTATATTTTATGTCTTTTTCTGATTACCAGTCTCTCTCACCCCTCATACTAAACTCCATGAGGGCATTGATGTTCACTGCTAGAACAGCGCTGATACACAGAGCAGGGGTTTTAAAAAATGTTGTGATATTTGGAAAGGGATCTGTGCAGGAGATCCTGGTTTGAGTGGGAGGACAATGTGGAACAAAACTCAAAATGATAAAAAAAAAAAAAAGACCAGGCTTACTAGTCTGATAGAGCCTGCTGAGACCCCTGAGGCTATGGCTGCTAGTTACTCTTCAGGCCTGGAATTGAACTCACTTCCAGCCAAATAACTAAATAAACAGTCAATAAATTGCACTTGCCATTCAGAGGTTATGTCTTAGGAGCTGAAGGCCTGGCTGCAGGGACCAGGCTCTTATCTAATCACTGCTAACATTCAGAGGAAGTTGACTGGGCAAGTACGGATTTTAACCTCAGTGCCTGCAGGCATATAGGGTGAACATTTACACCAGGTAGATACACGCCTTAAAACATCAATCATGTGAGAACAGAAGGGCAGAGGGCAGTTTTGCACAGGGAGAAAGCTCGGGGGCAGGAATGCATAGGAAGGAAAGAATGACACAGGGAAGAGGTAACTACAGGGAGGAAGTGGGAAGAGAGCTGTTACACTGTGGGACATTGCAATCAATGTCATGAAACAAAATGTCTATGAGTTGCTGTATGGAAAATGAATTTGCTCTGTAAACTTTCACCCAGATTACAATTAAAAGAAAAAGTTGTGGTAGCAACCTCCTCATCCAACTACAAGGTGGGAAGGAGAATTAAGATCCACACCAAGGCTGACTCCTATGAGGCAGAAAATGGACCTGCTTCCACCGCCAATTTTTTTTTTTTTTTTTTGACCAGTTCTGCACCCTCCCACGGCTCTCTACTCCTCCTCTGGCTTCAGTAATTCAGTAATTCATTGCAGTAAATAGAACGCAGACGGTGCTTGCCATAATGGGGTTTATCAGGGAAGTAGCAGGTTTCAGTTGAGGTTTAGGAATGCTCGGGGGACGCCTTCTTCCCGGCCGTGCCCAGCCGGTCTAACCTCTGCCCTGCTCCCTAGCCTCCGCCCTACTTGAGCAGGTGTTGCGAGCTCTTTTAGCTCTGCTTACAAATGTCCAGAGGCACCACACTCCACCGGTAAGCCTCCCTCTGATGACACTCAGCTCTAGCTCCGTGGGTCGGCAAGCTCGGTGCCACTGACGAGGCCCAGGTGTTCCACTCTGTCAGCAAACCTCCTGCCTGCAGGTGCTTCCTCGCTCCGTGGGCTGGGAAGCCACCAGGGCGCTGTCTCTTGCCTCTACTGCTGTCACTTTATCTCTGTTTTTCCAGTGTTACAGCTGTTTCCTGGGTCTAGGAGGCTCCCAGCACAGGGACCCTGGGCCTGAAGGACATGGTCCACTCTTAGCTCTTCTTTCTTGATGGTTGTAATGTCCTGGCTGCTCTGGATTTGGTTCTCTTTTAAGCCTAATGTCATGACAGAACTGACCAATGCCCTCGTTAGGGTTCCATACACTTATTTCTCTGGTCCCACCCCCACAAAGGTGCCACTCTCCTTATTTACATTATCAGCAAGCTGTCCAGTCCCCTTGGTGGGCCACCAGCACCTCATTTGCATAGTCCCATCCACTGATTTATTTGGGGTTTGCAAAGACTGGGTGTTGCTTGTGTTGTGGCTAGAAGGGCTGTATTAAATAATTCACTGCACCGCAGTGGTCATAGATATTTATTGAATATCTGAACCAAGACAAAAGGGCCTGGCTTCTGCTAAGTTCTCGGTAAATAAATTGCACTTGCCATTCAGAGGTTATGGCACCTGCTGAGATCATACAGAAGCTGCAGGCCTGACTGCAAGGACCAGGCTCTTACCTAATCACTGCTGACATTCAGAGGAAATTGACTGGTTTAGTTCCTGTGGGCAAGTATGGACTTTAATCTCAGTGCCTGTTCCTCTGTTAAAAAACAAACAAAAACTCACTGCCGTCGAGTCAGATCCACTCATAGTGACCCCTCCTTGGATTTCTGAGGTGGTTATCACTGTAGAAGTAGGTTGCCAATCTTCCTTCCAAGGAGTGGCTGGTGGGTTTGAACCACCAGCCTTCTGCCTTACGCACTGTGCCACCAGAGCTCCCAATTTCCTCTGTAAGCTGCAGGTAACCGTAGTTCCTGCCTCATAGTGGTTTAAGTGAAGCCCCGGGAACAACGTCTGATCCCCTTGTGAGTCCTAGCCACATCATGGTTCTGTCTTCTCTCACAGGACGAAGAAGACCCCTTGTGTTGCCCCCATCTTGGCTGCGACCTAAAAGCCCACGTGATCTGCCTGGCAGAGGAGTTCCTTCGAGAGGAGCCTGGGCAGCTTTTGCCACTAGAAGGCCAGTGCCCTGGGTGGGTCCAACACCCCTACCCCAGCCCAATCTGCTTGCCAAGGCCGGGCCCAGGCTACCTAGCACCTGGCCTAGGAAGCTCCATGATGCTTGAGCCCACATTTCCTTGGCAGCTGTAAGAACTCGCTGCTGTGGGGAGACCTCATCTGGCTGTGCCGTTCAGGAACTGAGGAAGATGAGGAAGACTTGGACTTCCATGAGGTGAGAGGTGTAGCTCAGGCCTGCCTCCCCCTCTGCCCCATTCCCTCGGCTGTCTCTGACCAGCTTCTCTGTCTCCACAGGAACACTGGACAGACATGCTGGAGAACTGACCCCAACGTCCCCACACCCCTACTTCTTTTCTGTGCCACTATTTTACTTGTGTTCAATAAACAGTCTGACTGAAGGGGTCCTTCTGGTTTTTGCCAGGAGATTGAGAGAGGAGGCCTCTGCCCTGCTAGCCAAGCATCCCTGCAGCTGGGTGGGGACAACTGAGGAGGGGGAGGGGCTGTAGGTCCACATGTGACCAGCCTTTCCTTTGTCCTAGGCCCCTCTGCCTCAGCTTTCACTAGTGTGACTCTGAGGTCACGTTTTTCTTTGAGGGCTTATGTGAAAATGGCATGATGGGAAAGGCATCTGACCTTCTCTGACTTCTCAAGGGGGGAGGAGGATCAAGATCAAGAGCCCAAGGCTGATTCCTGTGAGGTGAAGGTAAGACGTGCCTCTCTCCAACCTTTTACCAATTCTGACACCATCTGTTCCTCCTGCAGCGTTCTCTAGTTCTCTGCTGGGTTCCATAATTCATTGCGGTGACCACACAGAACTCAGACAATGCTCATGACTGTAGGGTTTTATTAGGGAAGTAACAAGTTATAACTCAGGATTTCAGTCAGGAGAGCCTTTTCTCAGCCAGGCTTCTGTCTTGGTCGGGCAAGCGTTACAATATAAAAACCAAACTCACTGCCATCAAGTTGATTCCGACTCATAGTGAGCCCCCTGGGTTTGTGAGGCAGTAAACCTAGATTGCTCTATCCTCCTTCCACAGAGGCTGCTGGGTTTGCACTCCTTTCTGGTTAGCAGTCAGATGCCTTAGGCACTGCGGCACCAGAGCTCCTTACAAAAAGCCTTTAGCTCCATCAGTAGGAGCCCGGAGGCCACCCATTCCACAGCAGGCCTCCTGTCGGAGGGCACTGCCGTCTCCCTGCAGGTTTCCTCGTTCTGCTGTCTCTGCTGCTTCTCACCGTGTCCCTTGTTACTGCCCTGTCTGGGTCCAGGAGGTTCCCAGTTCAGCAACCCTGGGTCCAAAGGCCACACTCCGGTCCAGGCTCTTCCTGGTAGTAACAGTCCCCCTTCCCTGTTGCTCTAGGCTGGCTTACTTTACACCTAAGGGTATGGCAAAACTAACCATTCCCCTCTTAGGGTTCACACACGGTATTGGCATTGTCTCTCCCACTCCCACAAGGGTGGCATGAGCCTTATTTGCAGTATTAGCAAGCTGTCCAATCCCCTTGCTGGGCCGTAAGCACCTCCTTTGCATAGTGCAACCCAGTCATTCGGTGGGAGTTACAGAGACTAGGGCTAGAAAGGCAGTGTTAAGCAATTCACTGCACTGCAGTTAGGGAGACTCACCCTTGACTTCGTCACCCACTTGCAGTGCCCAGCCTGACTCTGGCCTTTAATCCAAAGAACAAGGACAAAAGCGAGGGGGAGGGGATGTTGTGGGACCCTGTGGCGCTCCAGGCCCCAGCCCTTTCTTGCCTGTCTAGGGAGCCCCTTTCAAGCACCTAGATTTTTTTCCTAGGAAAAGAAAAGCACCTTCTGGGGGGCCACTTCTCCCACCAACCGGGAGTGTGGCAGGGGGCCCCGTTTTCAGGATGATGGGGGAGTCTCAGATGCCAGCAGTCCCCAGCTCCTCTCCCTCCCCCTCCCTCCCTCTTCCTTTTTCAGTTTTCTTCTCCCCTCCTCCCTTCCTACTTCTGCCCCTCCTCTCTTCTCTTGCCCAGGTCAGTTAGAAAAAGCTGTCAGCCCTGCAGGAGTGGAGTTCAGAGAAGGTGGGGAGCCAGGATTACAAAACACCCATGACTGGGCCCTCTTGCCTAGTTGCAGTCTGGAGGTTGGGTTTTCAGGTCTGTGTAAGCTTGGCTTCTAGCTGGGGTGTTAAGGACAGTAGCATAGTGGTCCCCCCACCCCAAACTCCACCCTTTCCTCTGGGAGGGCAGCCAAGTCTCAGTGCTGACTGGCTCCAACCCCTCCTACTTTGGACCTATAAACTCTCTGCTGGGAGTGCCGTTCCTGCACTCACACTGCACCCTGGCTGAGCCGGAGCACGGGAAGCCGGTCACACGGCCTGGATCCCGAGGAGTCAGGTGAGTACTGGGGACAGGTGAGTACTGGGGTGGGGACCGCTGAGCCAGACTTCCCTCATCAGCTCTTGGCTCCCACACATCCAAAGCAGAGGCTTTATACCCCTCAACCCCTGCCGTTCCATCTCTCCGCTCCTGCCTCCAGTGTCCCTGCCCTCTGCCACGGCTGTCCCATCTCAACACTGCCACCTCCAGCCTCAGCCGTTCTGTCCCTAGTGGACTAAGCTGTGTGTATCTGGGATCCAAGTTGGATCACAGGCCCAGTGTCGACTGCTTGGACAAGAGAAGCGGCTGGCTGAGCACGGGCTGGGAACAGCAGCAGCAGTAGTAACCAAGGCTGTGAATCGTTACAGAAGTAGATTGCCACATTTCTCACATAGAGCAGCTAGTGGGTTTGAACTGCTGACCTCTCAGTTAGCAGCTTAGTACTTAACCACTTCATCTCCGGGGCTCCTTTTCCCACACCCGGACAGTGATTTAATTGGACATGGCCCCGGCTGTGTAGGTGAATGCAAGTTCAGCCAGGGTAGCAGACCACTGCAGAGTTTGCTCTAGTGCCACCATTTACTAGCTTAATGAGCTTAGACAAGTCAACCTCTGTAAGCTTTGTTGTCCTTCCTTTAAACAAAGCGAGAATTCAACACATGGCATTGTTGCGTTGCTTTTCAGGAAGTGGGCTACTTGCTAGTCCCTGACTCGGCAGCATGGAGCTAATCCAGGACACCTCCCGCCCACCCCTGGTGCACGTACAGGGGATCCCACTCATCAAGTACTTTGCAGAGGCCCTGGGGCCACTGGAGAACTTGCAAGTCTTGCCAGATGACCTGCTTATCAGTACCTACCCCAAATCTGGTAGGTGACCAAGGGTCGTCCCGCCCCCTCCTGGCCACAGTCCTTACCCTGGGCCAGAAGGGGCACACCCTCCCTCCCTCGGCAGGCACCACCTGGGTGAGCGAGATCCTGGACATGATCTACCAGAACGGCAATCTGGAGAAGTGTCGCCGGGCCCCGATCTTCATCCGGGTGCCTTTCCTCGAGTTCAGGGTCCCAGGGTTTCCCTCAGGTATGTGGGTGGGCACTGGAGGCAAGTAAGTGGACGGAGGGAGGACCAGGGCTCCAGTTCACTGGACCTGTCCCTGCCCACGGCTTAGGCATGCAGACACTGGAGGATACACCAGCCCCCCGGCTCCTCAAGACGCACTTGCCTCTGGCCCTGATCCCCCAGACTCTGCTGGATCACAAGGTCAAAGTGAGTGGCAGAGGAAGCCAGGGAAGGAGGCTGCTGGAGCCAGGCCGGCCCCGACTCTATTCTCTGGAATGGTCTCCCCACTTGTCTGAGCCTTGTGTCATCCTAAGGGGGGAACCATCTGCCTCCTGCTCTGGTGGAGGCAGACCCAAGGGAAGCCGAGTAGGGCTGCTCACAGGCCCACGAGGGGATGGAGGGGTAGAGCGTGCCCCGCTTCAGGGTTAGAGTGGTACAGACTGTTTCCAGGGTCCAGCCAGGGCTCTGACAGATCTCAGCTGTCATGGTGGTACTCACTCAAGTAGGCCAACCTCAACACTTCACTTCCTCCTCTGCTGAATCGAGAGATGCCTCTCTCACAGGGATGCAGAGGGTGGCAGAAGGAGCTGGCATGCTGGCAGTAGTGACGCTAGGGTGGTCACCTGCCCATCCAGGTGATCTATGTTGCTCGCAATGCCAAGGATGTGGCTGTCTCCTACTACCACTTCTACCAAATGGCCAAAGTGCACCCTGATCCTGGCACCTGGGACAGCTTCCTGGAAAAGTTCATGGCTGGGCAAGGTGGGCCTGACTGTGGAGGAAGGGGACTGAGGGCAGGGGACTGCGGGACAGCCAGCTAAACCAACCGCCTCTATGTTGGTGGGCTTTCCCCAGTGTCCTATGGGTCCTGGTACCAGCACGTGCAGGAGTGGTGGGAGCTGCAACACACCCACCCTGTTCTCTATCTCTTCTATGAGGACATGAAGGAGGTGAGACCACCTGCTGCCCTGTGTCACACTTTGGGAGGCAGAAGCCCACGGGGACCTGCCTAGCCCTTCTTAGCCCCTCTCCCGTGACGGCTCCTGGACCCCTCACCTAGTCCTCCTTGCCCAGGACTCACCACATCCCATCCCCTCAGCAGCAGGACTTTGTACAGCCCTTCTCTCCTAGCGCCTGAGTTAGCTGCACGTTCCGCCATCGATCACTTAGTGCTGCTGCCTCTCTCTCGGTGTTTGCCAAGTGCTGGCCCAGGCTCCGAGGGCCAGTTATGAAAGAGGACTGCCCCTGGCCTCAGCCATGAGTAACCCAGCGAGGCTCGGTGCAGGCTCCCAGGGTAGAGAGCACCTTCTTGTGCCCCCGAGGAGGAGGACTGGGGTCAAGGGGTTGGCTCTGAAGCTGCTAAGTGAGGGGGCCAGACCACCTGGGACACGAGAGAGGGGCTCTGTTTCTTTTTGCCCAACAACCCAAACCGCCACTGAGGAGCTTTCTGCTGCTGCAGGACCCCAAAAGGGAGATTAGAAAGATCTTGGAATTTGTGGGGCGCTCGCTGCCTGAGAAGACCGTAGACCTGATCGTCAAGCACACGTCTTTCAAGGCGATGAAGGGGAACCCCATGGCTAACTACAGCACTCTGCCCCCTGACATCATGGACCACAACATTTCCGCCTTCATGAGGAAAGGTAGTGCCCGCCTGGGATGGCGATCAGGGCAGGGAGGAAGGGGAGGGGAGGGGGGACAGGGGAGAGAGGGGAGGGGAAGCAGCAGCTCGAGCCAGACCCGAGCCACCTAGGCCAGGACCTCCAGCCTCCCTCCATCTCCCTCCCGCAGGCATCACGGGGGACTGGAAAAGCACCTTCACCGTGGCCCAGAACGAGCGCTTTGATGCCCACTATGCTGAGAAGATGGCAGGCTCAAAGCTCAGCTTCCGTTTACAGCTGTGAAAGGGAGTGGTGGACAGGCTGGTGTGACCTTCACACTGCCATCAGCCATGTGTGGGCACGTGTGGCCTGGGGGCAGCAGAGCCAGCCTCAGGAGCGCTGAATAAACGTGGTTTGTGTCCAGTGGAGAGCCTTTATTGAAAGCAAAGCAGCCTGAGCTAAGGAGTCCGTGCCCCCGGGACCCGGAGGCCATGGCCCTCCAGCCCCGAGTTCCCCAACACGCCCATCTGGAGAACAGAAGGGGCGGGAGAAGTACACCCAGGAGACAGATGCGGGCGAGGGCAGGGTGTTTATTTGATCACAGAGAATCTTCTGCTGCCCGCACTCCCCGGAGGTGGCAGGAGGCTGCGGGTCTGCCAGCCTGCTTCACTTCTTCTTGGGCTCCTTACAAGCCACCACATACCTCTGGGCCACATTGAGGGGAGGAGAGTAACCATCTGCGTAGGAAGTGTCTTCAAACAGGACCGAGTAGTCATCCTGGGGCTGGGCAGGAGGCAGACAGGAGGGGCTGGTCAGAGACTCCCAGGCGAGGCATCCCCGTTGCTGAATCTGCCCCCCTGCAGCTGGGGCTGCCACCATCCTCTAGTCCATGGGCTTCCAGCCTCCCTGTCCTCATCCCTCACTCGCTGGAGCCAAGCACACTAGGTGTCTGACCCTAGTCCCTGAGGCTACAGAGCTCCTTTCCCACGACACAGGGGCAGGGGACAGAACAGGGAGGAGAGGGGACACAGGAGCCGTGTGGTCGGGCTGTAATGGAAGGCTCCTGTGCCCTGGCGCTGGGTGAAGGGTTTAAGGACAGCTCAGAGGGCATCTGGCAGGGATCCAAGAGAACAGAGAACAGCCTTCACGCTGCCATCAGCCATGTGTGGCCTGGGGGCCGTAGGTAAAGGCCAGTGGTGCAGGGGTCAGGAGATCTGAAGACAGATAGTCTTCAGGCACATAGTGCCTCCCTTCTCAGGGCTCATTGCTGTAAATGAGCTCAGAGCAGAACACACGGCAGGCAGTGCTCACGGCGTGCAAGGCGCCGGAGGGTAGAAGGACCCGGGCCAGCAGGTGCTGCTCTAGGGGACGGGGCTGTGGGGGCATCGGACCACCACGCAGAAGGGCTCCCAGGTCCCTGGCAGCTCTGAGAGTCTGAGAGAGGAAAGGTGACAACCCCACTGTGGTCAGCCGCGTCCTGCTGTCCCAGGGGCTGCCTTACCCGCTGGGGGGGCGTGTGGATCAGGGCGCGGTAGAAGCAGGTGGTCTGGGGATAGAGGGCCAGCACAAGCTGTTCCTTCTGGAATAAGGCTTCCGGGTCCGTCTCGGGGTTGGCTTTCCACTGGGGCAGAGGAATGATGCGTCGCCGGCTCAGGGTATGTCTCCTGGGGGAAGGGGCTGGTGTCAACCCACAGCCAGGTCTGGGGACTCCTCCCCAGCAGACTGGCTGCGCCCCCACCTTGTGGTGCTCCTCCCTGGCCCAGACACTCACTCCTTGCCTTCCTCATCGATGTCATCCACCTCATACCTGCGGGAGAACAAAAGGAAAACGCCGGGTGCAATGTAGTGAGATGCATTCTGGGCCAAGGGGGCACTGTGGGGAGGGAGAGGGCCGCGGGAGCCAGCGCGTCACCCGCCATCCCCATGGCACCCCAGGAGGGCTTCGTGCCCATTCTGTAGATGGGAGACGGGGCAGCCAGAGACTCCCAGGGTCCACTCACTTGTTGGTGGCATGGCTGTAACTGACCACCTCGGCCAGGATCCACTGCTCATCCCCCTCTACGCCCTTCACCCGGGCAGCCACCTTGTCTCCAGGTTTGGCCACATAGTCCCCCGAGGCTGGAACGGCTCCACAGAGGGGTGGGGGCCTGAGAGGGGAGGAAACTGTTAGCCCCACCCAGGCCCGGGGCACCAGGCCCTCCGTGCCAACCCCTGCCACCCACCCCTCCTGGCCCCAGGCCAGCCTCACTTGTCTCCAGGCTTCCCGATCCACAGGGGCAGGGTCATGGCCGACTGCTGCAACAGCGTCATCAGCACCCCTCTGCGCATGGTCTTGCGAGGGGGCTCCGAGTCATTGTACAGGCCTGCGATCTTGGCTGCTGTGGGAGGGAAGTGAGCCCCTGCTCTAAGGCAAGGAGAGGGGCCTATCCCCAAATCCCCCCAGCAGCCCTGCACCGGAGCCCTCACCTCCTCAGTCAGCACCCAGGGGCACTATATGTTCAAGCCTGAAGAGACCACCAAGCTCAACCAACAGACTAGAGGCCCCTGGGGGAGTGGGGCTGGAAGGGGCCCAGAGGAAGGACTACACTTTCTTGACCTGTGTTCTCATTGCAGGGTTGTGTTCAGGTTCTGAGAAGTTCATTACGCTGTACACATCTGAGCACTGTTCTGTTAATACACACTGTAACTCAATAGAAAGGTAAACTATCAAATGTGGGCCCCTAATCTCAGGCATGACTCAGCCACCAGTCAGCTTCATCCAAAGCCAGTCTGGCAATGGGACATCTTTGAGGCGTGAACTGCCCACTGTGGTTAATTTCAAGGGCAGGGGAGAGGTGGGAAGGCCAAGGAATGAGTGTACACTCCACCTGGAAGGCCAACTTCAAGACACCTAGGTGTGGCTGTGTACAAATAAGCCAGGCTCTCGAACAGCGAGAAATGGAGCTGGGGCTGGAGGAGGAGGGAGGTGGCCGCTGGGGAGGAAGAGAGGGGAAGGGCGGGTCTGCCTGGTGGACAGAGGAGCTGGCGCGAGCTTGCCTCCCAGAGGCCAGGGACCACCTGCACCCATGTCCCAGTCCCGGGCCACCCAGACCACTCACTTCTCGAGGTCAGACACCCCTGGGAATGATGACACAGACCGAGGTTACGGAGGTCCCCCCAGGGAGACGGGACCACTAGCCTCAGGAATCCCGTGTGCTCCCAGTCAGGGAGCACAGGACCTGTCTTCTCAACTCACCAATCCGCCGCTCCTCCAGCAGGGACTTGATCTCGGCAATCTTGTCCAGGGCTTTCCGGAGGATGCTGGGGGTGGAGAGAGGGCAGGAAGAAGGCCCAGCTGAAGCAGGTGCAGGCTGGGTTATTTGGACCAACTCTATTGCTGAAAATGACCAACACTAACTATGTGGGGTTCTCTTCATCTTGAAAGCACGAAAGAACCGATCAGGCAGTAAGGCAGGCAGGCCAACAATCTAACAGAAGGCAGGGTCCCAGAGAGGTGTGCAAAGCGGACCCAGCTGCTTGTGTCCCGAGAGCAGGTCGGATCCCGAGGAATGCTGCCGCAGTTCTGGCAGCCTCTAGGGACCAGGCGGACAGAAAGAAGGGAAAGCCCAGGGTCTGCCTAAGGTGGGACAAGTGAAAGGACACCGCCACGCACCCACCCCCTGCCACAGGCGCAGTGCTGGAGGGAGAGCTGTCTTGGCGCAGAAGAGGCGAGAGAGGGTGAGCATGCTCCTGGCAGACCCTCGTGTGAACTTGCGGCCCCAGGAAACGTCTGTGAATTTCACTTAGAGGAGGTTCCAGTGGCGGAAAACAAACAAAACACAAAAACAGATGCCTTCAAGTCAGTCCTGACACGCAGCGACCCTATGTGTTTCAGAGTAGAACTGCTCCGTGGAGTTTTCAATGGCTGTGAGCTTTTGGGAAGTAGCCTTCTTCCAAGGGGCCGCTGAGTGGCTTCAAACCGCCCAGCTTCTGGATAGGAGCTGAGTGTTTAACCATGTGCACCACCTTAGGGACTCCTCCAGAGTGGCATAGACCCCAGAGGCCTCGCAGAAACAGACACGCTCCCTTTCTAGAGGGAGCTCCCCAAAGAATACAGCAACAAGGGACATCATGTTTGCGGTTTAAACAAAAAACCAAACCACCAGCTTTCTGGTTAGCAGTCAAATGCCTTAAGCCTTACACCATCACCATAACATGTATGTGCACATAAAGAGACAGTGACAAAACACATGGTAAAGAATTACATTTCTATTAAGTCTGAAATCATTCATTTCCAAATAAAAAATTAATACTCATGTCTGAACCCCACTCCAAGTAAATCAGAACCTCTGGGTCCACCAGATGTGAGAACCTCGTGAACTTAAGAAATACTGAGTTGAATGAAATCGTGACTGCAGGACTTATCCGAGCCTTTAACCCTTTAGTTTGCACTGTGACTCTCCAGGAGAGGAATGTGAAGTTCCATTTCCTAAGGTTACTACAGCTCTACTCATTAACATTCAGAAAGCTGCAATTTTCTGCAAATGAGACTTCAGGTCTGACCTCCCGGCCAAAGCCTGGGTCTCTACTGTCTGAAGGGCAGCCACGAGCCTGGCAGTCGCCCTCAGGGCGGCGCTACCCCAGGTGGTCAGCCGCACATGGGACGGCTGAAGAGAGGCTTCCTTCCAGCTGATGGCCTTTGAGTGTGGCCAAGAGCCCTAGCCAGACCCTGACCATCAAGGAAGGAGCAAAACCTGTGTGAACCCTTTAGAATAAATCCAGTACCACACATACAAATGAACAGTGTAAGTGTTTGGTTAGGGTGACCTTCAAGGAAAAAAAATCCCTCTTGGGACATCTCTCCTGCTGAGAGGGTGGCGTTCATGCTTGCAGAACAACAGCCCCTGAGACACTGGACTCCATGCAAGGGGACAAGCCCACCCCCCACCCACCCCTCCTCTCCACCACTGCCCACCTCTGGGCATCGCTGGGGCCCAGGCTGTGGTGGGGGAGGTGGCTGCGGCAGAAGGATAAAGGCAATACGTTAGCACCCCTGCCCGGGGCTTCTCTGCCAGCCCGCAAGTGGCTAGGGTGGGGGCGGGGCCACTCTCCCTTTGCTTCTGAGCTGAGCCCTCAGACTCAATCAGCCTGAAGTATTACCTCCTGGCAAGCCACTGGCTGCCCAGGCCCGGTGCCTGGCTCAGAGAGATGGTCCAGGGCCTATGGTGTGCCTCCTCCCCACCAGGCACTGGCTACTTTAGCCGTGACTCGCTCGGGCCCTGGGAAAACTGGCGTACCCCTGCCTGCAATGGCTTAGGCCATCC